GGTGGGATTACTGGGGCCGGCGGGTTGGGGGTTCAGGTTTGGTGGCCGGTGGCTATGGGAAAGAGTTTTGTGGAGTTTCCTGTGGGGAAGAAGAGGGGATTTGGATGGTGGCGTTTGAAACAACGAAGACAAAAGATGGGAGGTGATGAGGGAGAAACAAAAAAAAATCAAGAGAAGACCATGAACCCGGCCGTCTTCAAGGTTGGTGGGTGATACGACCTCCCTCTCCTAGGGAATTCTCTCCATTAGAACTCTCAAGCTCTCTCAATACTCATCCAAGAAGAAAATAACATAAGCAATCCTTCATTACCTCAAAATAAAACAAAGGGGCTTTTAAATAGCCTCATACAACAAGACTCTAAATGACATGACACAAATGCCCTTAGGCTTACACATGACCACTCACATACAAAGGGGTACAAAGGGAAATAAATAAACACACATAAGCAAATAATAAAATGCATAAAATAAAATACATCGACTCAAAAATATAACGACTCGATCGTGGCCGTAGATCGGCGGCCACGTCGCTGATAAACTTTCCATGATAATCTGATGTCCCCATCACGGACAAGTAGGGCCCACCCTATGGGCTGGCCAAGCCAAGGGAGGCGGGTGAATTCCGCCTCCTGTAGACCTGCTGAGCCGGCTGGGCTGGTTCAGCCTGAACCGGTACATCAAAAGGACAGCCCTTTTTTCTCAGAAAAAAAGGGAGTTTGTTTTGAAATCTTCAATATTGACTGATCTCTTAGAACCTGAGATTATTTCTTGGTGCCAATAATCAACTGCTCTTAGAGTCTTAGATGCTGTACCGTATTTTTTTATTATTCAAACGAAAAGGCTTCTTATTCTTATCAGAATTAATGAATTTTGCATTACAGTTTATAGTGATCAAAAGTTCTATTATTTTCAGCGGATGGCGCTTTAAGTTCCAGTTTGAAGGCTAAAAAAACTATGAAGAGAACTGATAAATTCAGCACCCAAGTAGACAAACTTCATTGCAATCAAGAAAAAGCTAAGGTGGGTGAGTCTCTTCTTCCACATCTATAAGTTTATGAGACAGCCATAATGCTAATACCACTCAAAGAAACTTCTTCAATGCCAATGATATGTATCTTAATTACTTTATATTGTTCTTATTTTCCATATAATATGTGAGAGTGCCTGCCGATGTAGGGAAAATACTCTGTACTAATATCCTAAAGCCACTGAAGCGTTTTCTTTGTCTTTTTCAATGCTAATGACTTAAAAAAAGAGGTAAAGTTGGATATTATGAGTGCGCATTAGATTTTTCTGATTACATCCTGAAAATCATCTACTATAAAAGAAGTATGAATAACATATGAGTTACTATGTGAATGTTTAAGAGTACACTATAATAATTTTTTCGATATTTTAGTTTGCATATTATATGTTTATTCGATCATAATGTTATTTAGTTAAAGTTTTCTATGATAAAAAGTTTTTCATATAATTTTCTGCTTGAGTGTGGCTTTGTAAGGAAATTATCATCTTATATTGATAGCCAAACTCATGAGCTTTGCTCATGTTAGCCCGTTCTAGTATTGATAAGCTTTTATTGATCTGTACTAGACTATTGGGGCTGTTGTGAGCTCCATTGGTCTTATTAGAGGTGTGCATGAAAATATTCATTTTATTTTAAAAATTAAATATTAGTGAGAATTTTGATTTGTTTTAAAAATGTTAGTGTTATATAAGTAAATGTTGAAATTTAGATTTTAGATATATATATTTACAAAATGAGTGCGTGGTATGTATGTAAATCCTCCAAAATTAAAGTATATTGTTTCTATTATATTGAATTATTTGTAGTAGTTAAAAAGTCATGAGATGGACATATGCAATCTATTGTTTTTAATTCATTAATTAATGAGTTACATAGAAGTCACATGAGTTCATAAGTTTCCCTTTGCCAACATCATTGACCTTCAGGCCACTCCTACTCACACCCTTCAATTTATCATATATATGTGCTCATCTTGGTTGATAAGCTATTTCAAGTTAGGGTTGTATCCATTGCTGATGGTGGATAGCATTGGTTTTGTTTGTCTTTTCATGACACAAAAAATATCACTATTATTAACTTATTTAAAGTAATATTCTTGAATGTATTTTGATATTATTTAGACAATAGGGTGTTATATAATTAAATATAATGATTTATGTGTTAAGATAAATACATATAAATTCAATGGTATGTAAGTAAACTCTCCGTAGTTTTGTTCCACCATGTTTGGCATGGATACCATGAACTATTATAGTTGTTGAAATATTTTGTGTTCCACCATGTTTGACATGGATACCTTGAAGCATTATAGTTGTTGAAATATTTTGTTGTTGTTGTACACAACTTTTGCTCTTTTATTTGAGTTGTTTTTTACTTCATTGCTTCTACCTATTTATCCAGATATGTATTCACCAATATGCTTAGATTATATGATACGAGAGAAAACATTGAAAAACTATAGAAAAATTGCAAGAACACGATAGCTAGGTAACTTGGAGCTTGCCCAAAACTCTTCGTAGTTGAGGGGGAAGGTTCCAAGAGATTGAGGGAAAAGGAATGGCTATCAAGGCAATTATAGAATGCCTACAACTCCAAGAGATTGAGAGAGAGAGGCAGTAACCATCAAAGCCAAGTCCATTCATTATTTTTGCATGTCTTAATTTCTCCACAAGATTAGTATTTATAGGCTTACAAAGGCACGTTATAACCTAGTAAACTACCTAATAGTTGTAAGACCTATAAGCTAACATAACTCACTAATTACCCATTACAAAAACCCCTTTCATTTATTCATCCATTATACTGGTAGTATTTTGCAGCTTTATTATTACAACTGTTTGTTCTTAGATCTCCTTTTCCATTTTATGGTCGAAATTTGTTTCACATTTAATGTAATTTTGATGACTTACACCTACATAGCTTTCAAAACTTGTTCAGCAGACTGCCTTCAACTTCTCTATAATTTAAGGGACTTTTCTTAGCTTTTCAGTTTTTATAGTCTGTATTATTTGGCTTTCCGTGTCCCAGAATTCCTTTTTCAATCCTTCTCTCACTTTGCTTAACGGATTATTTCTTTCCTTTTTGCTCAATATTTAGAAATTTTCTTGCTTTTATCTCAACTACTGTGTCCAGCCTTATGAAGCTTTTTCTGGGATTGGTTTTGAACTATTATGAAGCTTATTCTTGAATTGTTTTGGTCGATTATGGTTTTGCTTTATATACTCCTTTTAATCATACTTCTGTTTACATAAAAATAGTATACTTAGTTGGATTATAATGGGAAGCTATCTAAATTTATCTCATGTTGGACCATTCTTATCAAATTTCTTCTTGAACGTTAATTTGGTAATATTATTCTACTGCACGCACACTACCAGCTACACATTTATACTCCATTTAAAATAGTTCTCCTTGCCTTTTCCTATAATTGGACCACACGTACCTTCCCAGCATGAATAGATTGATGATCAATGATTTTAGGAGTGTCAATTCGGGTTGACTGGTTTGGTTCGGGTCGAACCCGAGTTGACCCGGATCTAAACAGTTCAACCCGAACCTGACCCGTTTTTGCAAACGGGTCGAACATTTCAACCCGGACCCGACCCGGCAGCGGGCGACGACAGCGCGACAGATTTGTGTCATAGGAAGAAAACATGTTATGTAAACTTAATTGTAGGTGCCCTAAGTTTGTCTGTTTGAAGAGGGAAAAATTATTTTGTACGGTCATTGAATGGCGTCCGGAGACAAATTAGAGCGCGTCATATCACTTTTTTATTGTGTATTACTGTATATTGGTTGACATAGGCCGCTCTGATTTGCCTTCGGACAATCTGATGACCGCACAATATATTTGAAATTTTTAGGATTGTATTATCATTTTTTGTCCGCAATCAATTATCCCATCTAACTATAGGTTTCTAAGAAGTTCCAATAATGATTTAGGAGCCGTAGGGCCCAGTAAACAAATATATAGTAATATTCCAATTGCCCTTAAAAACGGTTTTCAATTTTTAGCATATTTAATTTGATTTTTTTTAAAAAAAAAAGTAGACTGCTCATAAATTTAAAAAAAATAAAGCTCAGTCGGCACTAAATTATCCCTCCCCCACCCCCCTTTTTTTTCCTTTGGCACTCATTCATGTCATTTCACTGTCTTGTGCTTGCCCAATCTTGGTTAGTTCAATTTAGTTGTGACTTTATTGCTTCTAGATCTGAGTCGTACGTGTACGGCCATGATTTCATGTTTGGGGTTTTGCCACGTCGTCATTCCTCTTTTCATATTTATTATCCTGTAAAAAGCTGGCCAACAACCTAATTATATATATTCTTTAATTTGTTGGTTGATAATTTTGACTTTAAGATATTTTGAATTTAAATTTTTATTGGACTAAATGTACTAAAAGAAGAAAAATAAATAAATATTAAATTAAAGTGGTTCATTTTATTTAAATAATGTAAACTAGCAAAATATAAGACATCTTTGTAAAAAAAAAATGTTAAAAATCTTTAATAACTCATGTACTGATTTTTAATAATTATTGCCACAAGATTTAAAGTGTGGCCTTAGTTTATAATTTCAAAGGAAATAATACGAGTATAAATTATTATGTAAGCACATTTTTACAGAAAAAATTGTGTTGGATATCTTTTAAATTTTCATCAAAATAATATTTATGTTGGGTCCTCAAATATTTGTGGTGGTGGAGAAATATAAAGTTTAACATCTTAGCTTTGGATTTGGCTCGTCGAGCCATTTGATTCGACTATTTGCATGTCCCGTTTCAATATTGTTTGGTAATCCAAATTATTGATTGAACCTTTCAAATGAGTTTCGAGTCTTTGATTTGGATCCATTTGAGCTCGGATTGGGTTGAATTTGGTGTTGTTGTGTTCGTAATTTCGAGCCATTCAAACTGACTGTTAGTTTGTTGAAATTGGTGTTCAGATGGTTTCCGTTTTAATTTTTTGAAGTTTTCAACTTGATTTTGCCTTGACATCCGTGCTCGATCAAGATAATTTTTTTGTCTGATATTTCAATGATAGACAGAATGATACACATCACTATAATTGCACATATATATTTAAAACTTTGATATATCATATATATAAAAAAAATATGTAATTTTAGTTTTTAAGATGAATTAAAATATAATGAAGATAGATGTTGTGAAAAGTATGCTAAAATAATATAAATTTTAAATATCTTATAAAATACATGATAAAATTTAGGTATGATTAAGATCAAGATATTTTAACCTAATTATTTTCCCTATTTCAAATACACTCTAAATATAATTTATAATTTGAATGATAAATATTTTATTGCTTTATTTATTGATGCATTTATTAACTTTTTTTCCGTTTACTTACAAACTTTAATGAAATGCCTCAATAGATTGATGAAAATGGCCATTAAAGAGTGGTCATCCACTTTGAGATGCAAGTTGTTGAAATTAAATTCTTAAGCAATTAATATGATATTATTATTCTCTTATGACTATAAGATAGTTTTTAAGACATGAGAAAGGTTAATTTTAGGTGGCAGTTGTCATTACATTATGTTTTTATTCGTTGAAATTTGCATTATCTTCTCTGTTCATTTTGTTTTATTTTGTTTGTTTATTTAATTTTGTCTTATTAAACTCTAACAGCTCATTTGAATTTTTTTTTTTGTTTTTTGGGTTTAGTTTTCTACTACATAGCAATGTAATTATTTGGGAACTTTGGATCAATGGACAACTGGTTTTCATAAATTATTTTCTTAAACCTATTTTAAATTTTGTTTCATTAAAACGAATGAAGTAGCTTAGTTGAAAGGGTTTTAAATAGTTATAACTATGTGCTCCAATTTAATGATTGTCACGGACTAGGATATTCATGGTAGTAGAGTGAGTAAATTTATCGTCTTCGTAATGCACAGATATCCAGTATACAAACAGAAAGAGAGAAGTAAAAACACCCTATTTTTTTTATGTGGAAAGCCCAAAGAGGGAAAAACAACGGGGCCTGCCCAGGTGAAGAGATTATACTAAATTTGAGTGAATTACAAATATTGACCCGTCCCTTGACTTAGGAGCAGTCAAATTACAGTAGTTTGGAGAGTTGGGCCAAGGTTTGGACTGTCAGGCGGAAATTCGTCAGCGTCCGGGCAGAAGTTCAGTTGACGAGGTAAGATCCTACAAAGGTTGGGTGAAAGTCTGACGGCGCTCAGTTGCTAGGTGGAAGTCCGGAGGCGGTTAGTGGTGATTCGACGAAGGTTGAGGTGAAGTCCGGCTGCGGTCAGCGTCGGGCGGTGGTCCGATGAAGGTCAGGCTGCAGTCCGACTGCTGTCATTGGCCAGGCGAAGGTCCGGAGACTGTCGGCGGCCGTGCAATGGTCTGACGAAGGTCGGGCTGAAGTCCGACGGTGATTGTTGAAGGTCTGACGGTGGATGGCGGCCGGACCTTCTACTCGGTACCTGGCTCAGTATTGCTCGGTATCGCGGCTCGGTACTGATGACGTGGTGCATTCTGATTGGTCTCCAAACGGTAAACAGGGTTCGACGCCCGCACAGAATAATTTCTCCTAGCCATTACATATATGTGCTCTCTGTTCCTCTCTAGCCCTCCTTGTTGTCTAACTCTTCGCCCCATCATATTTCTTGCTTTGACGCCTTTATGTAAGTGAGAATAAATTTTTGTTGTTACTTAAAAAATTAAGTGAGGTGTTAAGTATCTAAATATGAATATGAATTAAATGTTATATATGTAAATTCCCTTAAAATATTATGTATTTTATACACTATTATTTATAATTTTTGTTATTTCTTATGTATTAATTTACTGTTTAAACTTTGTGTGACTATATATAAAACATATTTGAAAGTGACAGTGTTGATCTGACTTAAAAAAAAGTTATTTAGAAAATAAAGATTTTATTTGTGACGATTTTTTTTATTATTTTATTAAAAAAATTATAATTCATAAAAGTTGGCATTAAAAGTTATTTTATAAAATAATTAAAAAAATATCTCAAATTAAGTCTAATAAAATAGGAAAAAAAATAAATTATTTAATTAAACATGTTCTCATAATTAGTGATAAGAGAATCCCAGCAGAGTTTTGAAGGCAATGTACGCTGCATCATCGTTAATCACGGCGCGAAATTATGCGACTCTCTATTGGTCAGTCCCAATTTCCAAAGTGAAAGTACTTCATTTAAAAAATAATATATTATCCTATCCCTAATGAGGGATCCAATATCTAATTTTAAGAGGGTTAAGGTTCTTAAATGACAAAATAATGATAAATTATCACTGGTTGCACCATTGAGTGTTTTCAATATTTTTTTTTTATCAAAATCATTAAAATACATCTAAAAAATTATAATTATATATATATTTTTTTAAAGATGAATTTGAAGAGAGCTCAAAGATTTAAAAAACTCAAGAGCTATATATAAAGATAGACTTAGACGAACACCACGAGCAATCGTAGTCGATCAACTACCTTTACTTAACAGCTGTTGATCGGCTGTTATTATCTGGTCTTCATCGCTTAATCACCATTGCTCGTTATCATCACCTTCATCGCCATCTTGTAATCGTTTTTATTTGACTGACGACATTCGATTGTTATTATCGGATTGTGATCACTCTCAACAACTTCTCAGTTTTGTAATCATATCTATTACGACTGAGCCGATTATAATTTTATACCTTACTTATGTAATTAATCACTTCATCATGATTTTTTTTCTTTTTGAGTTTTTTACATAGATTTTAATATTTCTTGCAAAATTCTTTTATTTGAATTTATGTATATTTTCATACAAAATTAAAATTTTAATATTTAATGTCTTTTATTTTTATGTACCAAAAATATATTATATGTTCCATTTTAATTTTTAAAACTATTTTAGAAAAATTAGATCATTATATTCTCCCATAATTTTTTCTTTTCGATCATAGGGACAGGCTATCGTATAGTGATACGGACTGCATCAGAGCACTAATCATCGAGATATGAGCTATTATCGTGATTAGGCACTAATTAATTATATTTTCAATATTGTAAATAATTAGTATTAACGATGGAGTGTCGCCGCCCACCCATTTCCCAGTCGGGTTGTCTATCGGGTCAGCAGGTGGCCCAACCCTTGGACAGGTGTGTTCAAACTTCAAACTATTTGACCCTCGTAATTCCGTTAACACTTTCGGGTTCTCTTTAAATACGCCAGAGAAAGACTCCAACCTCAGATCTTCTCTGTTCTGAAAAGGCGAGAAACTGAAACCAGAGAAAAAGCGGCTGCGAGTCTCGATTTGGAGAGAGAAGGTTCTGATATTCGTCTCACTGATAGAGAACAAAGATATGGATTGGACAGCATCGCTTGATGAGTACCAGAAGCTTGTTATCCGGATGAACACGCCAAGGTTAGGGTTTCCCTTTCTTTTTTTTTTTTTAATACTTTCATGATTTTGCACTCCTGATTTCACGCTTGCTCTGATTTGGAATTTTAGAGTTCAGGGTTTTATTCGATTTTTTTTTTGTGAATTTTTTTGATGTGGTTTCAACGTTTGATTTGGTCTTCAGTGGAGAGTGTTTCCACGACTATTGTTTGAAATATTCGCGCGGATTGGAAATTTTCTCCACGCGCTCTTTTGCTGTGATTCTATTGGCTCCGAAAAAAATTTCGACTATATCAGATCTGGAATTCTTCTCTTTAGACTCGATGGGACCTCCCTCGTTGTTTACTTTCTTTTTGAATTCTTCATTTTCAGGGTTGTGATCGACAATGCAGTTTGTGCCACCGCAACTTTGGTCAAGGTAACCTCTCGGCGTTGTTGTCTTTTCCCCCAATTTAATCCAGAGTTCGATGTAAGTGGAATGCTTCATTGTTTTGAATCCAGGTTGATAGTGCGAGGAAGGATGGGATTCTCCTCGAGGCGGTTCAGGTGCTTACTGATCTTGACCTCTCGATCAAGAAGGCTTACATCTCCTCCGATGGCCGGTGGTTCATGGATGTCTTCCACGTCACCGACCAGTACGGCGAGAAACTCGCCGATGAGAGGGTAATTTCTGACATAGAACGGTCCCTCGGCGCTAGCGATGAGGCTGCTGTCGTCTCCGCAGGCATGGATCCTATCACTACCCTAGAACTCACCGGAGGGGATCGCCCTGGTCTGCTTTCCGAAGTCTTCGCCGTACTCTCCGATCTCCATTGTATCGTCGCCGAGGCCAAGCTCTGGACCCACAATGGCCGGATCGCCGCGCTCATCTTTGTCAAGGAAGAGGACTCGGGGTTACGTATTGAGGATTCGGAGAAGATCCGCCGTATTGAAGCGCGCCTACGCAACGTCGTCCGCGGAGCCACCACCGCCGTCTCTTCCTCCTCCATCACCGCCTCCTCTGGTGGCACCTACGTTGATCGTCGTCTCCACCAGATGATGTTCGCCGACCGCGACTACGAACGCGGCAACTCCGGCGTTAGCGAGACTTCCGTCTCCGTCCAGAACTGGACTGAGCGGGGGTACTCCATCGTTAACGTTCAGTGTCGCGACCGCCCGAAGCTTCTATTCGACGTCATCTGCACCCTCACCGACATGGAGTACGTCGTCTTCCACGGCACCATCGACACCACCGGAGATCGCGCCTGCCAAGTAACTGCTTGCTCCCCTTCTCCCTATTCGAAATTCCCTTTTCCGAACACATCGATCTCACCCTTTAAAGATTACAGGAATTCTGCATTCGCCACTCGGACGGGAGCCCAATCAGCTCCGAAGCAGAAAGGCAAAGAGTTATACAATGCCTGCAAGCAGCCATCGACCGCAGAGCATCCGAGGTTTCTTTTCACATTCATTTATCTGCGACTACAAAACCTACCATCATATTTTTTTTAGGAACTTATTCTGATTCTTTCAGATGCAACTGAAAGAGGTTGATAGAGCAAAGTTGTCATACATTAGATAAAAAATATATTAAGATGATTATTCGGCTCAAATAAACTCTATGATAATCTGCTCACTTTCTTTGTTTCAATCAGGGTTTAAGATTAGAGCTATGTGCAACAAATGATCGATCCGGGTTACTCGCAGAGGCCACGAGAACATTTAGGGAGAATGGGCTCTCTGTCACAAGGGCGGAAGTGTCCACCAAAGGGGATATGGCATTAAACATGTTCTATGTGACAGACGCCGCCGGCCACCCAACCGATCGAAAAACAATCGATGCTGTTATCGAGCGTGTCGGCGCAGGCCGGCTAAAGGTCTATGAGGACCGATCGAATCACACTAAACATATACAACCCAATTCAGCCCAAGAAGAATCGTCGATCGCCAGCGCCGGTCTTCTATACCTAGGCAGCTTGGTAAGGAAGAATCTATACAATTTGGGACTCATCAGATCATGTTCTTAGTGAAACCTCCAGTACATAAAAAATGACAAGTCACCAATGTTATTTGTTAGAGCAGCATATACAGCAAAGATAAACAAAGAAAAGGGTGATTGTGGTTATTAGATATAAATCAGAAGGATCTGAGCACTTTGAAGTTGGTTAAGGTTAGATAGAAATGTTTACGTACTATTTATATATCTAATTCTTAAAATATTAATATTATATGTTTATCATTTATATACAAATTTAATATCAAATAGACCACTCATATAATTTATTTCTACCATTTTATAAACTTTAATATTTTATTCCATGTATTTAAATTTGTTCTACTAGTGATAGACATGTAATATTAATATTTTGGATGTTAGATATGTAAATAATATGAAATAAAATGATATGTATGTAAATCCCCCTTGATTGTATTAAAAATAAAATAATTTATAAATAATATTAAAGCAATTTTTATATTATATTTTAAATAAAAAGATGTTGACAATAATCTTCAAAATTCTTCTCAATCGGACTAATTGCTTCTTATTTAGTTATTGTGAGTCAGCAACAATATCTCACTATGTGAGTTGGCGCCTATATAAATTTTATTTCTTTTTTGTGTCTTAGCTAATCAAATGAATGTTTGTTTAACTGAAATTACCTTTTTAATCCCACAAATCAAAATTTCTATAATTATTATGATAAGTTTAGAGATATCATAGAGCTTTCCAACCATTCAATTTGGCCTGGTGATTAGATTGGGTTAAGAAACAATATTTTAGAAGGATTCTAATCTACAATTAATCCTGACCATTCATTCTGATTTGATGGGTAAGATAGCTTGACGGCGTTATTAACGTGTTGATGACGTGAATGTTGGCGAGGGAAATAGATATTTTTCAAAGTAAATTAAATTAAGCAGAAAAAAAGGTAAACAAATATCACATGCAGTGTTTTTGAGAAGACATTTGCTAATGTTTTCTATTGCTGCAATTTTTTAACAAAAAATAATTACATTTATGAAGATTGAGTAATGCAATACTCCCTCCTCTACTAACAAAAAAATTATATATATATATATATATATTAGAGGAGTATTAATCATATTTAAAAAAAAAATCAACATTGAGTTTGCTTGATGTTGTTCGGGCTCTATTTAGATTAATAGGCTTTATTAGAATTAGATATTTTTTTTGTTTGGTTCGATCAAAGTTCAGAATAAGAGCAAATTGACTCAAAATATTTTGGTTTAGTTGGATTCTACTAAGGCAATTAAGTTGAACATTTCAAGTTGGCCTAGTCAATTCGATTTTAAGCTTCCTCCCTAGCCTTACAACCACACACCTTAAGAGATTTTGAGAGAACCATCCTAAGAGTGAAGATCATGTGAGCATCTAATGCAAAGAGTCATGGCACATGTAAGAAAAAGTTGAATCTAATATAAATTAAAACTAGTATGGTATAAGTCATTGTTATAGAAAAAGGGACTTCGAGTTTTAAAGGTTTGACAATGAAGATTATCGATTTTAGTTGAGGGTGAGTAATAGTCGATAGATGATAACATTCGTCAGTATCATCCTATCATAGCTAAATGAATCATTAGAAAATGGATAATGGCGACTAATTGCTTATGGTAGAAGTTAGGTGTTAGAAGTTGATCAGAGCAGATGTCGTTCATGCTAGAGGGATGACTAGGCAACAAAGAAAGGCGGGGAAGAAGTGTGGAGAAGAAAAATTGTAAAGCATGCTAATTTGGTTCCATAAAATGATAAGAGTTAAGAATTTTTCGAGTCCATAAATTCTTTCTACCAAAAAATCATCATTAAATATAAAATAAACCTTATTTTTAGATTTTAATTATCATTGGATAATATGAAAGTATCATCCTTGTTTTTTTGATAATCATGCTATTTTAATGAACTATTATAACTTAGACTCATCTAAGTTGATATGCTTGTTTTTAACTATAAAAAATAAAATTTAGAGAGCATTTGACTTCTCAATTGCCTAAAGAAGTTTCTAACTATGCCTATTTATTAGTAAATGATCTTGTATCCTACTTCACTTCATAAAATATTTAGCATAAAATTTTTCTTAAAAAAATTATAGGTGCAATATCCAAAAAAATTTTTATGTAATGTGTGAAGATAGATATCCTTGAACTATCAATATCCAAAAATATTTTTAAATAAATAAAATGGTATATTATTAAAAAATAATACTTGTTATGTATCACTTATGCCAATATTATCATTTTTTATAAATAATTTAGATAAGAGTAAAAAAAAAATTAATTTCATCATATCATCTTTCAAAACAACTGAAATAACTCCTAAAGGTGAATTAAATCTAATTTACTATTTAAGTAGGATATAATTTTCTCGAGTCTTTCTACTTATATTAATTTTCTCTTACATATAGGAGACCTCATAGCTCTTTTATATGTGACAGTCTGATAATATATAGGTCGATAAGTAAGAAAGTTAGATGAGCACCTGTAGTAAAAAATATTACACTTTATTTGATCTCGTATTATATTTCAAAATCAAATTTATTCATGCTTAGGATGAGATTCAATCAAAATTTTAGATCATAAAAAATTAGGGTTTAATAAGATTGATTTTTGGACCAAATTTTAGTCTATTCGATTTTAAATGCAATAAAATTAAAAGATTCAAAATGACTAGTTATGTAAATTAAATCAATCAAATGCAAACCCTAACGAGACTTTATATAATTTATAAAATCATTCATAATTTTTTGCTACACATTCTTGATGCCTTTCCTTGTTAGAAAATGTTGATGCTTTGTTAAATGATTAATTTGGTCAAATGGAAGGCCAAATTAGTTAATTAAAGTAGCATTATATCTTTTAAATAAACTAATTAGCATTTCCTAACCACTATCAATCATTCAAATGGGCTAAACTTAATGTAGGCTTCGTTTGGGCCGGCTTTTTTATTGCTTTCTAAAACAGAGTTTTAGTATAAAAATAAAAAAATTTGTACTAAAACTCCGTTTTAGAAAGCAGTAAAAAAGTCGTCCCAAACGAAACCTTAATCTTTGTTATAATTAAAAGCAACTCAATTTTAAATTTGGCCATATGAGAAAATATCATTATGCTACTAATTTTTCTTTTAATTAATTACTTTTTCCTTTCTATGAAAAGACTTATATGAACTATAACCTTTTTTTTTCATTATTTGGTGAAAATTAAATTTTAAAATCATTTAATAAAGAAAATGTTGAAAATATTTGAAATAAGGATGTGATGAAAAAGTAGATGTTACTCACATCCTAAAACCTAAATAAAAATAGTGATATGGTATAATGAATTAGGCAAATGTATATTTAATTTATTTTTTCTAATAAATAATAATTTCATTTTCTTGTGTATAACATAAATTTCTATAAAATATATAGGCTTCGATTGGGACATGTTTCTTACTGCTTTGCTTTTCATATCGCAAGCACAATTTCTTTTTAGTCATTATTTTTAAAGCTACACAAGCTAACACAAATGCGAACCAAATCTTACACGGCTTGACCCGAATCCAACTTCTCCATGTTGAGTTCAAGTCCGGCTTTTATGTTCGGTCAAAGAGTAAAACCCTTAATATCTCTGCACCAATATATTTTTTAATCATTTTATGTATACATGACTAATATACAATAACTAAAATCTAATTTGTCTTAACATTGTTGTGATTGACTTTAAGACCACGAGCTCCACATTCTTAAAGTAAATGTGGGGCCTAAAGAGAACTATTTATGTGTAGTTCAAAACTTTATTTAACTCATTGTGTCATAAAAAATATGTTTATTGAAGAAATATCACATATTACCTTAAATAGGTATCCAAAATGATTTCACTCTTAATTTAATATTAAATAAATAAAAATAATATCATATCATAGGACTGATATTTATTTACAATAATGCCATTGCTCTCGAATAAATTTATGTCAAATTTGATTAAATATAGTTCTATTTTTATGGGTATATCCGTATATATATATATATATTAGAAAAACCAATTTAAAGAAAAAAAGTTAAATGAGAAAATAATTTATACCCTCTAAAAAAATCCTAAATTATATTTACTTTGATGTTTCTAGCCAACAAAAGCTCCAATGCACTCATGCACTAATTAATAAATGAATTAATAAAAAATTGAATTTTTGATAAAATCAATAGAGAGTATCTTCCTCTCTTATTCAAACAAATGGCCAAAGTCCAAAATATTATTGTTTGCATAAAATTTAATTTTCTTTGACCATAATTAATTGGATAGTTTACCAAAAGACTAAACCCTTTGACTTTATACAAAATAAAAGAATTTTTTGTTCGATTCTATTTATGTGACATAATTTTCTTCTTCAAATTCAAGAAATGAATTAGTGCAAAGTGCATAAGAAATCAAATTTACATTCCTTAAATATATGATTTTATTAATTTTTATAGTTGAACATTCTAGTGAATATGATTGGAGGTTGGTTAAAATAATATTTTTTTATTATAATATAGTCCTTGTAGGTTGGTTGTTAGCCAACACAAATGACAAGTTGGGGTAAAATCTCTTGCAAATTTCTTCTCTAATAATGATTAGGGCTCCTTGAAGTTTTTCTTCAATTAATATTTTTAACTAAGAGCTGTTTGGGATATTTTTCTCGCAACTTTCCGTTTTCAGTCTACGACCACAATTATGTTTGACGATTACTTTCTTATTGTATTTTTGTAGTTTTTAAGAAATTTCTGTAGTGAACTCTCTTTTTTTTTCAACCAAAATAATAAAGCTCTTTTCATCACAATAACTTCATAACAAATTTTATAAAATACTACAATTATCCTAAGCAGACCCTAAAGAAAGACGTCGCAAACGAAGCCTAAGTCTTTGTTTGGAATAGCTTTCTTACTGTTTGAATTAAAAAAAAAAAATTCTAATAAAAAGTATAAAGAAAGCTGTTCCAAACGAAGCTTAGATGAAGCCTAAATGAGTCATTATCAAGAGTAGAGTCAACTTAGAATTAAAATTGGCTTGGCTTGAATTCCAATAAATTAAATGTCTCTTGTGTCAAGATGAAATAAGCTAAAGATAGGATCGTTAACATCTCCATGAGGAATCTTTTGTACCATATAAACCCATATGACCTATTTAAAAGGACAAAGACATGCATCGATAAGCTAAGACTCAAATTAATTAATT